CAGTGCCCAGGAATGTGCAGGTTAGGGTGGATTATAGGGGGATGGGTCTGGTTGGGATGCTCGGAGGGTCAGTGTGGACTTGTTGGGCCGAAGGACCTGTTTCCACACTGTAGGGATTCTATGATTCTATAAAAGTGCTCAATCCCTTGTCACACTTCCCACCCTGTGCCCTCAACCCCTCTCCACCCCCCTGCCCCCACCAACCCCGTCACCTGACCCCTCCCCACCCCTTCACCACTCCCTGGTAGGGAATAAGGAATTAAAGTCTCTCCCCTCCGCACTCCCCAAATCACAGCTCTGTGAAGCCTTCTCAGTCAATTCCTGGTTTAACCGTTGAGGAAATCTTGTGCACAGCATGATCCCACCCAAGCAGGGAGGATAGTCCCCTGGTTGCATTTCCTGTCGGCTGAGGGCTTAGGCGGAGAGAGGTTTATTGTTTGGATCAGGAAGGGGACCCAGAGTCGTGGTGGGAGGTGGGGGGGAGAGTTGGGAGCTGAGGGCTGTCCCGTTGGATGGCACAGTGGATAATCAACGGGCCGAACGGCCCACCGCCGGCCAGGAGGAGGAGGGAGGGCAGGGCAGGGCGCGGGGATGTAGGGGCACTGCGGTGAAATGGATGGAATGAAATCCCGGGGAATGTTTCCGTGCACAGTTGAAGGATGGGGTTGGGGAGATGGGGTTGCTGACAGGGAGAGGCAGCCTGGATACAGACAAGGTGTTGCACGGAGAACCTGCTTGTTTTTTTTGTGACACCCACAACCCCCCCAACTTTTCCGAACAGGTGACCTCCCCTCGCTCAGTGACGTGGCACCAAGACACGGTCGGCACCTCGGATCTCGAATGGGTGGTGACAGAGCGCCGAGAGACTGAGAGGACTGGCTCGCTGGACAACGCCCTGTGGACCCGGGCACAGCCCTGGCTTCGGGCCGAGTGGTCTCCCAGCTGCCCCGCTCTGCTGGAAGCCCCCGGGCTCCCCACCCCATCGGGGGGGCAGCGGGGAGGGGGAGAGGGAGAGGGAGAGGGAGAGAGGGGGCCGAGGCCCAGGCAGACACCGGGCTCCAGGGCGAAGGCGGCGAAGATTCGCAGGTCACCCCGGGTCACCAAGGGGGTACCCCCCAAGCGATACGGGCAGCCCTCCACCAGGCGCACCCGGGGGGGCGCATCCCCTTCGGGGGGCCAGAAGTAGACGCTGCCACCCTACCTCACCCCTCACCCTCTCCCCCCCCCCC